GAATTCCACCAGCAACACCCAGATGCAGCCAAAGCACCAATCAGGGTCGTCACTTTTGGTGGAAAACACTTCGAATTATCCTCATATGAAGTTGCACCGATCTCCACACACCGAATCAATATGTCCGACCATCCAGACGAGTTCTTCCTATATCATAAGATGACAGATCTCGCCAAATCACCGAAAAAATCCTCAAATGAAGCAGCAGGATGGGATATTTATGCAGCAGAAACGCATGAAATCCCCTCGCATTCACGAGCTGTGGTAGGGACGGGAGTCGCGATTGACCCTCCCAAACATACCTATACACGAATAGCTCCACGCAGCGGACTGGCTGCACGAGGAATTGACGTGGGCGCAGGAGTCGTCGATCCAGATTACACTGGGGAACTCAAGGTCGTACTAATCAACACAACGGATTTCGTATTTTCGGTCAAGCCGGGAGATAGAATAGCCCAAATAATCTTTGAGTATTATGCAGAAGGGCTTCCCTCCCGAAGCTACCAACCGTTGCGAGCAACTAGAAGGGGTAATAAAGGTTTTGGCTCCTCGGGACAATGAGCCTTGAGAGGGGGGTAGTGTCACAGTTTTTCACCACAAAGTCCGCACGTGACTTTTCTCACACCACAGATCACGTGCTTCACCAATATCTCACGCCACTCAGTCACAGACGTGACGCGTAGAGATCAGGTGATAGCCCACATCACATGTTATGGTCCAGACCCGTGGATGATACGGTCGGACCTGTCTATTCCAGGATACAATAGAGGCACCCATTTGGGAACAAAGGGAACAAGGACTATTGTTATGCGTCGGCCTTCCGCTTCCTATTAGTTTAGCCAGAAGCCTAGATAGGTACGATGTTCACGTCGGAGAACAAAAGGAGAACCAAGATAGGCACGATGTGCACACGCATTACTGCGGCAACCATCGATCTTCTCACTTATTGTTCTACTTCCGGACATCCTATTGTTTCATGTACAGCCATTTGCTTATACCCGTAGATAGGTAGCTTAGGTAAGATAGCCCGCTGTACGTGTATATAAGACCAGCCATGTAGGGGACGAAACCTCAGATTGTTTCTCCTCGTCTACTACCTATAGCACTCACTGAGCTTACCAGCTCCTTCATATATCTCTCACCCTTTCCTGCGTCTGCCAACATTGACCAGTAAGTCAACAGGCTCTTGCGCCACATAGGGTTCAGGGGGATACCTTTGGGATCAGGGGGATCAGGGCGGCACGTTCCACGTGACTGTCCCTTTTTAGTCTCTTTGATCTCTTGTCCGGTGTTACCGTGACACATGCCTCCGTAGTTGTCACAAAGCACAAAACACTTAACCCAATTAAGGGCAAGTCTGCTTGTGTGACCTGCACAAATAAATCCACAACATAAAAGCCTGCCACAAGGGCTAGGCTGAGGATGGCGCGCAGTGGCATATAACCAGCAATCAAGGCAAAGCCCCAATGCATGGCCTTGCACAAAAGGTGAAAGGGGGGAGCTGGCCTGCTGGCCGCATACAATAGTTGAATGAATCTAAGGTCTTCCCTTAGATCCTCATGTGCTTATATACATGTAGTGGTGGACCCTGGGTACCCTAACTATGGTGTACTTATTGGGGTCCTGTCCTGTCTACATGTGAACATATTGCCAAAACCAGTAATGGTTCTGGACTTCGCTATAGCAACTATCTATAAAGGCCGTGGATACACCAAGGTAATCCTACTTTACCCAATGAGATAATTGCCTGAAGGTGGTGCCACTATTTGAGTGACTGAAGTGGTGCCACTTATTGAGTGCCCAATGGAGGTTCTGCCATAGCGCATATTCTAATGCTGGTGCTACTATTTGGCAGCCATGTAGTTGTTGCTGCTATTAAGCAGCGAATTGGGTGCTTGCTAGCTTGATGGTCCAATGAGCACAGGTAAGCCTATTGTGGGCCAAAGAGTTCCATTCTGGGCAAGTGGCCTGGTGTCACGTGATCAACGCCTGATAACTTCCGAATAGGGCAAGTGGGCAGTGTCACGTGACTGGGTGGCTGAATCATGGGCACTTGGTGATCATGTGGTAGACACAGTCATATCCGCGATGTATGTGGTGGTATTGTGCTGTTTGTCTAAGTATCCACTTTGTGAGACCAATATGAAGGTTGGCGTCCGAATAACCACTTGTGATTGCTGAATGATGACTTTATTGGTGCAAAAAGAAAGGTGCCACTTAATACTGTGACAGTAGTGAAGCATCTTTGTTCTGATCTTCAACGTTCTTCTCAACCATTCTGCGAAGCTCTCATCAAAATAAGCATGTCTCAGCCACTGCACAGCTTTGCTGACAGCACTCCATCTGGTGGAGACAATGCAAAGTTCTGGGTATCACCTGATGGACAGGCTTGGACCACTGGAGTGGATGGCCGATGGCTACCTTATGGACCATCTGGTGCATCCCAGCTGGCACCTCTGCAGGTATGTATTCCCATCATCCTGCAATGTCTCAAATTTGCTCATGAACCATCAAATCATGCCTGGGCTGTCTGGCAGCCTGAACGATGGACCACCATACCATGCTGGTGAAGGATCTCAAGCGCGTGCTATGTCTTTGCAGTATGGTCCACCACCTACTGTCCTTCATCCATCATATGTAAGTGTTTTTGTACTGCTCTTCTGACCCAGATTATCCTCATGAATGATGCAAGGCTCCCACCAGTGCTGTTGCTGGCCCACCACAGCTGCCATCCAGTGCAATCGATCCAATGCTGGTGCCTCTCCCGCCCCAGCATACGTTGGAGATTTTAGAGCTTCATCACTGTCACTCACTGGTGGACAAGACTGGAGGATCTCATCACACAGTCTCTCGTGGTTGCTCGAAGGCCAAGGGAAAACAGCACATGTGTGAGCCAGAGCCTGTCCGAACATGTAAGCACAAGCAGATCTGAGACGATGGTAGTGGCGACAGTGACAGAGATGGCGATATGAAAGCTCCTACCAAAAAGGGCCCAGATCGCATTCGAGGTGCAGCCAACTATCGCGATGATGATATCAGTGAACTTCTCGACCTTGTTGAAGATGAGCTACCTGTTGGTGCCAACGGCTGGACGGTGGTAGACAAGCAGCATCAAGATTGGGCATATGTTTACAGCAGACCCGAGTGAACAGACAAGTCACTGAAGGCAAAGTTTAAGCAGGTGAGCGTTGATTTGTGATAACATCTCATTTCCTATCACTAACAGTCCTTTAGCTGGTACAAACCAGCAAGCCTATCAGTGATGCAGACTGTCCTCCAGCTGTTGAGCGGGTGCATTACATCGACGACCTTATCAACGATAAAGTTCACTCTCATGATCTTGATGATGACGAAATTGCCACGGAGCAAGATGCTGACCATTCCATTCTTTCTGTTAGTGATGATGAGAAGAACAATAGATGATCTCAAAATGAGCCAACTGTTACAGCTCATGCCATCAAAATTGACCCCAAGCTACCTCCTGCCGCAGTTCATGCTGAGCGTGCTCGTCGATCGCATGCTCCTAACGTCAATGCTGGCATGGAGGTTCTTACATGCCTTTCTCATTCCCTGGACCCTACAGTGCAAGCCATGCATGATAGTGATAGGGCCGCACAATCACTTCATACTACTCAAGTTCTAGCATTGAATCAACACATTCGTGATCTCAACACTATGGTTACTAACCTTCGTACACAGCTCATGGAGGCTGAGCATCGCTATCAGGATGCACAGCAGCATGCTGATCATGCAGAACATCAAATGGAAATATCACGCATGCTCCATGATTCTGGTAGACGAAGCAGGTCTCACTCTCGCAATTGCAGCTGTAGCTCATCTCGGAGCCACCTTTATCCATATCGCCGCTCTCGTCGCACATCAATCTCCCATCATTCAAATTATGCACTAGATTCCTCACCTCACCATCATCCAATATCGGCCTCTCATCATCATCGCCATGCCCTTGAGCCCTTGCCTCGTCAAACCCTCGAGCCTTCCCCTCACTGTGACCGCTATAACGTCTGCTATGCTGATGGAGCTCGCGCAACATTCTGGGCATTCCCTGATGAAGTTGACGATCTCATCAACCCTGATCGTCCTTGTACATTTGAAAGAATCCCTGACACACCTTCTAGATGACCAGATCTAGTGCGGTATTCAGATCATCACATGCATTCAGCAAGCTCACTCACTACACGTGGCAACCATCCACCTGTACACTCTCCCTTTTGTCATGCTCGCCAACATCATGATGGGTCTCCGCACACTCCCAGCTCTCCTCGATAGCCAGAAGGCAGCTTTGGCAGAGCAGCAGGAACTCGAGAGATGAATGCACAAGTGCATTCTTTACAGTCTTCTCATGAGGCATCACATGCTACACCAGCAGCACTCAACATTGGAGGTATCGAAGTCTCCATCACACCTCACTGCAGCCGCATTGGTGACCTTTTGTTTGAGATCTCTCCGTCGCACCCTCAGGCCTTGGTGATGAATCCCAATGATGACGAAAATGCAAGTGAAGCGAACTCACAGCCTCAAACTCCATCAGACTGGGCTCCTAGCCCTCTGTCACAGTAAAATAGTAAACAATGACATCGAAATAAATTTTCTAAAATGTTTGCATAAGTTCACGAGTCTGCTACAATATGAAATGCTTTGACCTGGTCTCTGCACCTCTGCTCCGCAAATAGCATACCTGCAAAACCATCCCAAATTTGTGCCTGATCCCCTTCCCTCTATATTGATGCATAGACAGTGTTGATCTGATTGATTCCAATGATGTTGGCATGAACATTGTTAAGGCGTACACAAGTTTCAAGGAGATCACCTCGTTGCTCATCATGGTCAATCTCGAGTGGGACTCAAAGGCGGCCAAAGGAACTATGAAGTCCATGCATTACCCATTCGGCAGTCTGTCAATATGAAAGGAGCTGCCGGTTGATCTGAAGAGCATGAGTACGCTCAGTAACCGATGACAGTAATTGCTGTCCAGCTTTGATAGAAGCACGAATGCGGCCTGCAATTTGGTCTGACCCATGAGGGAATGCTGTATCTGCAACAAGAAAGTATCCATCTGGAGTCTTGGTGTAAAGCTTCTCATAGATAGGACGTGCTACACGAGAATCATGCCAGCTGCCTGGGCAGTTCAGCTTGGCAGCCATAATCGTGCCTGTGTCAGGTAAGATCAGGCTCGCTTACTGCAGATAGACAGGAATAGCATACCTTTCAGTGTGAATGCCAACACAGAGCTAATAAAATGCTCATGCAACCACCCATTGTAAGTTGCGTTCTCAATTTCCAAGTCATCTGATGTCTGGCATGGAAGATTGAGGCCATCAAGAGAGCCAAATGCTCTGTCAAGCAGGCTATGGTGTGCAGAGATTAAATGTGTGTATTATTCGAATTCGAAGCCCTGCGACCATTTAATTTGGCCAGATGGCATGTCTCGAAGAGTCTCCAGGAGTATCTTCAGCGTGAAGTTGGTATATCTCGAGACTGTGGCAGGAATGAGGGCAAAGATCTGCTGAAGGGAGATTTCGTGCATTGTAGAGCAGAGGTAATGGAGGATGAGGCTAGACCTCCAGCAGCATCAAGCGAGCGTTGATCTGGGCATGCCGTTCCCTTCTCAGCAACATCTCTCCTTACAATAGCTCTAGTGTCCCAGCGGCATGCAAAACTGGAGGTTAGGATGAGATCAAAGCATAGGATGTAGAATCCCATGGTCACGATGTAAGCTCGGTCCTCGTGGCTTTCATACAATTGCTGCCAAGCTGTAGCTGAGCAAGGATTAGGCAGCAATTCTGCACTGCACAGGTATCCTCAATTGGCCTGATGGTGGTCTATTTGTTGCTGTCAATCTTCAGAGGCCCCCAGTATATAGCAAGGTGGTGATGAGGATTTGATTTCTCTCCACCTGAGCTTCTGTCACGGATTTTTGCCACAAAGTCCACACGTGACTTTTCTCATGCCACAGATCACGTGCTTCACCAATATCTCATGCCACTCAGCCACAGACGTGACACGTAGAGATCAGGTGATAGTCCACATCACATGTTATGGTCCAGACCCACGGATGATACGGTCGGACCTGTCTATTAGGATACAATAGAGGCACCCATTTGGAAACAAAGGGAACAAGGACTATTGTTATGCATCGGCCTTCCGCTTCCTATTAGTTTAGCCAGAAGCCTAGATAGGCACGATGTTCACACCAGAGAACAAAAGGGGAACCAAGATAGGCATGATGTGCACACGCATTACTGCAGCAACCATCGATCTTCCCACTTATTGTTCTACTTCCGGACATCCTATTGTTTCATGTACGGCCATTAGCTTATACCCGTAGATAGGTAGCTTAGGTAAGATAGCCCGCTGTACGTGTATATAAGACCAGCCATGTAGAGGACGAAACGTCAGATTGTTTCTCCTCGTCTACTACCCGTAGCATCTACTAAGCTCACCAGCTTTTCCATATATCTCTTACCCTTTTCTGCATTCACCACATCAACCAGTAAGTCAAACAGGCTCTTGCACCACATAGGGTTCAGGGAGATACTTTGGGATCAGAGGGATCAGGGTGGCACGTTCCACGTGACTATCCCTTTTAGTCTTTTTGATCTCTTGTCCGGTGTTACTGTGACAGCTTCATCTTCCTCTTCCTGTTCTGCCTCATGGGTGACACTGCGATGACCAAGGATGTTTTCCATTAAAGATTGTGAAGCCACGAAATGATACAGGGCAAAAGCATGTCTGTCAAGTGCGAGCACCACAACAGGTTCAAAGTCCGCGCTACAATATAAAAATGTACTAATGCAATGCTACAGTGTGAGCCATTCTATCAAGTGCCTTCTGGATATGATTTGTAACTCCACTTTATAATCTGAAATGCAGTCTAAACCTGCAGGATGGCATTTAATTACACCTTCATCTGCTACTAGATATTTTATACATGTCATAGTTTGAAATTCAAAAATGTATGATTACATTCAACAGCACTCAAATTCTAAATGTATCTGGTGAGTTTGAAAATGGTGTCATTTCTTAAAATATATGATTTTAAATTTCTGCCTCCAACATATTGGATGCCATCCTGCAGGTTTAGAACACATTTCAGATTATAAAGCTGAGTGTCAAATCATATCCAGAAGGCACTTGATAGAATAGCTCACACCGTAGCGTTGCATTAGAATATTTTTATATTGTAGTGCGGACTTTGAACCTGTTGTGGCACTTGCACTTGACAGACATGCTTTTGCCCTGTATCATTTCGTGGCTTCACAATCTTTAATGAAAAATGTCCTTGGTCATCTCAGTGTCACCCATGAGGCAGAACAGGAAGAGGAAGATGAAGCTCAGTTGGAGAGAGATCAAATCCTCATCGTCACCTTGCTATATACTGGGACCTCTGAAGATCGACAGCAATGAATAGACCACCATCAGGCTAATTGAGGATACCTGTGCCATGCAGAATTGCTGCCTAATCCTTGCTCGGCTACAGCTTGGCAGCAATTGTATGAAAGCCATGAGGACCGAGCTTACATCGTGACCATGGGATTCAACATCCTATGCTTTGATCTCATCCTAACCTTCAGTTTTGCACGCCGCTGGGACACTAAAGCTATTTGTCACAGATTTTTGCCACAATGTCTGCATGTGACTTTTCTCATGCCACAGATCACATGCTTCACCAATATCTCACGCTACTTAGCCACAGACGTGACACATAGAGATCAGGTGATAGTCCATATCACATGTTATGGCCCAGACCTGCAGATAATACTATCGGACCTGTCTATTCCAGGATGCAATAGAGGCATCCATTTAGAAACAAAGGGAACAAGGACTATTGTTTAGGATTGTCTAGGCAATCAGCTCAAGGTATGGCTGTTACCACGATAGGATGGATCATCTCACCATTGTTATGGATGAAGACCGATCTTCTCACCTATTATTCTAGTTTAGGATAGATCTTCCCACTTATTGTTCCATATATAGTTTAGTCACCTAGATACGTAGATAGCCAATCATCTATTTTGTAGTAGTGGTATGATGAAGGTTATGTAATCAGGCTCCTGTACATGTATATAAGACCAGCCATGTAGAGGACAAAACTTCAGATTGTTTCTCCTCGTCTACCACTGTAGCACCCACTGAGCCTACCAGCTCCACCATATATCTTTCACCCTTCCATACGCTTGCTTCACCAACAAGTAAGTGTTAGGCTCTCAAGCCACATAAGGGATCAGGGGAATCAGGGCGGCATGTTCCACGTGACCATTTCCTTTTATAGTCTTTTTGATCTCTTGTCCAGTGGTGCTGTGACATTAGAAACAATCTGACAATTTTCTGCACCCCTGCTTAGTGTCTAGCACAAGTGGCCATGTATTTTCAGTGCAAGCAGTTTCAGCCATAGTGCATGGCTTTTTTGACACACATTCCAATCCAATCTCTACCAGGTGTGAGCCTCAGCAAGACACTGAGCAGCCCAAAGCTCCAAAGTGCAAGGCCCTCCCTAGGATTGACCTCAACGTCCACTATAAGTGTCAGGAAACCAACAAGGAGTGAGAAAGGCTCCTCACTTTAGCATTTCTAGGTGCATCCTCCACAGACCAGCAATGCACAGCAGCCAGGGTAGTTGACACCACACACATCATACAGTGCAGAATCATTCACTGGCCTCATAGTCACACCCCTTCGCTCGAATGCTACAAGCCCAGAAGAGGACACCTCACCACCGGTAGTCACAAGCTGGCACCACCGCCAGAACTTATCACCTCCAATGCTATCCCCCCAGTCATTATCACTCCACAGCCCATGCAACCACTCCCCAACTTTATCAAAGTCAGCACACATGCACGACCAATCTGTCCACTTCCATCGAGAGTCAGGCCCACACTTCACCTTGAAACCCTCAAGAAGCAAGTATTCGCCACTCACTTCAGGCTCCAACCCTTATTAGGAGCCTTCTGGGAATGCCTCGATGAGAATTTGAGAGGCAAAGGACTACAGTGCCTATTGTCAGAACTAGACAAGGTCTGCGCAGACCTTTACACGAGAGCTTGCAAATACACATTCATCGAGAAACAAATTATCAACATGGTCTGCTTGAAGATAGGCAGAATCAGCTTTCAACGGATTGGGAAACAGGAGACACTAGACAGGATAGTCAGGACACTATTTGAGATCTCAAAGAAGAGATACTTGAATTTTTTGTACTAGTTACACTGCACAATGGCCGAACCTTCCCATCCCCACATGTCTACATTCAGACAACCAATGAAGGATGTACTCCATTCTAACATTGAGACACATGACAGAAGTACCTCACGTGCCTTGCAACGCAATTCACCTGAGCCTGGACTAGGATCCCAGGACTCTGCATCACAAGTCGGAGGACCCAAATCTTCGACACCATCACTTTTACCCACCTACGTCCCTCTCATTTGGGAGTTTGATGGACAGCAATTTCAGCATCTAGAAGATGCACTCAGGCAATCCACTCTCGGTGAAGTCCTGGATCATATCCAAGAATGGGTCATAGTCGCCATGAAGCTCACGGTCAACACCGGAGTCAAAAAGGTTTAGAACATGCTTGGAAACAAAATGTACGAGCACAAGAGAGCCTTCAACGTGATAATTCAGTCGAACTGAAGCGAGCACCGATTGAAGGAGGCAGTCCTCCAAACAGAAATCGGAAGGCTTAACAACAAAATTCAAGCGCAAGATGCGCACATGACGGTTCTCAACGATGAGATCACAGGCACACAGGGAGCCATGCTAGACATGGGAAAAAAATTGATGGAACTCGGTGCAGAAAATATCAAGTTATGCCATGAGTTAGCTTCACTAAAAGCAAGTGGCATCGCAATGACGCAAGGTCACACATCCGGTCAAGGTTACAAACTCCGCATCAAAATTGCTGAACCTCCACACTACTCGGGCAAATGAAGTCTGAAGGACTGGCTCCAACAACTCGGAATATGGATGTGGTGAAATGAGATCAATGACGATGAGCACAAGATTACCACAGCCCTGCTGCACTTGGAAGGTGGCGCATTCACCTACATGTCAGAATACGCAACCAGGGCAGTGGCACAGCAATCACTCGGTACTTGGTTAGACTTCGTCGACATTCTCAAAGTAAACTACAGGACCCTCAACCCAGACAAGGATGCACAGCAGCATTTGAAGGAGATCTGCGGCAAAATGTTATGAAGCGTTTCCTGCTAGAACGTTCAGAACCACGTATGCCTTCTCACACGTACTAGTCCACAACGTGGACAGAGACTTAGATGCCAAATATATCTAATGTCTCTAATAGTCAGGCAGACTATTAGCAGGGTTTATAGTGTGGTCAAGCCTAGTAGACGATGTAGCAGTGAGGTCCTCACTCTACCCTTGCTAGGCCTTGGCCGCTACAGCTACTGCATGTTCACCCGCAGGTTACTAGGTTCGCTGTTCTGACTCTAGCAAGTGTACGAGCTTACTACCTCTTGAGAGCGAGTACGATTGCACGAGGGTTCTAGAACTGAGAACGTTCAGAGTCACAGGTGGAAGAGGTTAGTCTTCCCACTGCTGCTCTGCCCCTTTATATAGTTGCAGACCTATAGTCTGGGGTACTAGTACAAGGGGTTCCGTTATCCTAAAGATAGGTGAAACACACCGGAGCTTAGCTGCTGTGAGCCAGGTAATTGGCGAGCTAAGAAAAGCGTAGGTGAAATACCTGAAATATGAAATGAGAACCAAAGTCCTGGATCGCAGATCCTGGGGTTAGAGTTTAAGAACCCTAGAAGCTGTCCTCGGTCACATAGTGACTAGAAGCTGTCCTCAGTCACATAGTGACTGATATCACCTGACCGTGATTGGGCGTCTCTTCTAGGTGCTTGTTCATGGGGATTACGTGACCATGAGCGACGGTATGTTTCGTAACACAAGCTTCCCTCTCCAACTGCCAAGACCTCTTGGCAATTAAACCATAAGATCCCATCTTCTCCATCTGCGCTTCCGCTTTGAGGAAGGAAGTATTCTTGAAATAGTATGCGTGGAGCTGTCATGTGATTCAGCAGAGGATTCATCATTTGTGCCGATGCTTGACTGTTCTGGTGTAGGGTTGCCCAGAGACGGGTATCTCTTTTCGACTTGATCAGCCCAAGAAGTCTGATTGGTGCTTGATGATTCAGAATCACTGTTAAACAACTCGACGGTACGTCCACTGTGATGCACGTGCAGGTTTGAGGGACTCAGAGGAGTTCCTTGCTTCGCATTGCTGCCAGTACTTGGATTCGAGGAATCAATACTGGAGTTTCATGCATAGGCTGCCTTGAAATGCTTGGGTGATAACGAATCGGGTAATTGTCCTGCATTCCATCATTCGTGCTGTCGCAGCGGTCGCGACCTTGATTTGTTACTGTTTTCAGAAGTAGCCTCCATCCGATGCGGCTTTGGGCATTCAAATTCACGATGTCCGATACGATTGCAGTTCCAGCATCGATCAGAGAACTGTCCTTGTCCCGGTTGTGAATGGCGAGAATCTTCACGAGTCCCCTTAAATGGCTGATTGATCCATTGGTTAATGGAAGGTGAAGACTGCTGGCCTGACTTAGTCGACTGCTGCTGCTTTGTCTTCTTCTTTTCGCCCTTCCGGTTAGGACATGTCTTCATACGTTGGTTGGACATGCTGTTTGCTGAAGAGGAAGATGTAGATGATGAAGTACTTTCATCGTCATCTCCTTGTCACCTCTTGTCAAATTTTCTTTGGACAATGGCCTTGATACCATGCCATTCTTTTTGACTGATATCGAGTGATGCCATAAGTACTTCCTTCCATATTGATGTAGGGAAGGCTGTCTGGTCTTTATGCGATGAATGAGTACGTATGGCACCAATTTGAATGGTGTTCATGCCAAGAATATGTTCAGACATTCGATCGATATCCATAGGTTCGTCATTATCTTCTTCGTCTTCCTTTTCCTTTCGATCGACATGGTGGTTTTGACCGCCGGCTCCGAGAAGAAGGTTAACGAGTTTTTCATTAACCAACTTAGTTACCAGCTGCTCAATCTGCTTCCGCATCTTCTTCGTGATTGACAGATCTTTTGAGGGTTCTTTTGATCCAGTAGACGCGTATGCAATTTTTCTCTTAATTGAAGAAGCCTTCTGCTTCTTTGTTAATTTGACAATTTATACGGGTTGCATGTTTTGCAGGGTCCTATCGATGTTTGGCTTCTTTGCGGGGCATTGATCCATCTCGTGCCCTGGTTTTCTGCATCGGTAGCACAGGCATATTTTAACTGGAAGGTTCCGTACTTGTCGTATTTGTCATGCCCTGTCGATGTCCATTGCATTGGGATCATCTACATCCATCGAATCTCCTTCATTCATTGAATCACCCTGATTCGCATGTGTGATGAAATCGAAGATATTGCTTTTTCCCTTATGGGCATTTTGAAGGTCGTTGACTTGTCTCGCAAGGTCGCAAGCATCCTCATACGTTGTTGGAGGATTAGGGATAAGGAAGACTTTTTCTGCCAACTTCGATTCTAAGCCTCACTTGAAATGAATGAGCTTGGTATAGTCATCATCGATTTCAGCATAGCAAAATAGGATATCGAGATTCCTGATGTAATTGTCGACCTTTCCTTTCTTCTGCCTACACTGATTGTCGAGTAACGTTTGCCATGCTTGATCCTTGGTTGCGACTCCTCCATACTTTTCTTGGAGAGTCATCCGAAAGTCGCGATAAAGTCCTAGATCATCTGATCTTCCTGTAGATGCGATCATCGCTGCTTCCCATGATTCGACCCATTTTGCTGCTGCTGAACCAGGTTCGAAGTGGGATAGGATGAATGTTATCTGACTGTAGTCGTTATCATATATGTGGATGTTTGCCTGGAGATGTCGCTCTCCAGCTTGGAGGAGTGATGTAAATGTTCGCTTATCTCCTGTGAATGGTCAGATCTCCCCTAGCTGTAATTCCTCCTTTTCCAATTCTGGTTGTGCAGAATTATACAGCACGTATAGATTCATTTCCAGGAGATATTCCTGCCACTGGAATTTCAGACATGTCAGTCCTGGATGCACTGGTGGTCCATTGGCTGGATCGTACCATGCTTTGATGGGATTTTGAATAGTAGTTCCCAAACTACTTGTTTGTGCCATGGCTGATTGTGACCTTTTTGGTACTTCGAGTGGCATTACTGGCCTTCCTCCTTCTGAGGATGTCCTGGTTAAAGGTGTCGTCCTGACTCCTTTCCATAATCCTAACCCATCGTAGGGCTTCCTGGATGTTGGCGTAATGCTAGAGTTGCCACTCCTTAATAAACTTGGATTGATGCTGAGAGGATTCCATTCCTCCCGTCCTTTATCCTTGTTTGATCCTTCGGCATCCTCTGGCCTTGGATTGACTTGTATCGCTTTTCCTCTAGGAAGATCCATATGCGTTAGGAATTTGTCCTCGAAATCCTTTGCAATGTCCTTCCTATTATTGATTACCCGTCGAATTTCTTCAACGTCATGTTCGAGCTCTCAAAGCTGATGCTGCTCTTCTGGGGTTGTAAGGTTCCCCAACCTTTGTCGTCTTTGCAGCGCAATGGCTCACGTATTCCTGACGTCTTTGAACCAATCTAACTCTTCATTGGTTGCATCGTTCCATGACAACGGCGTCATGTATCCTTTGTCTCCTTGATAGCCTATCGGCTCATCTCCGGAGTCTGATTCGTATCCTTTGTTTTCGTGATACGACATCTTGCCTTTTCTTGGTGGCCCTTAACCAATTGTTCATTGACCACACGGGTCCGTGTTTTCACGCCGAGTTCTTCTGGATAGTCACACAGACTATCGCTAGTTCCTTGAATCTTCTTGATTCTGAATTGCCTTCCCTGGGAAGGGCTTTAGCATGTCTTCTACATGTGCCTCAGTTGAGGGCTTCTCTTCTGGATTACCACACAGGTAACTGCTAGTGCTTGAGTTTGATAAACACACAGATTTGATTGAACCACACAGGTTTGTTGGTGACCACACAGGTTCCCCTTCCTTGTCGTACCAAGGTAACCACACAGGTCCTGGAAGCGACCACACAGGTCTTGATTTTCCTGTAGCATCCAAGTAGACCCCACTTCTGGTAAGTGGTTCTAAACCTAAACAGGTTGACCTATAGAAAAACCTCTTCCAAATGTTATGAAGTGTTTCCTGCTAGAACGTTCAGAACCACGTGTGCCTTCTCACACGTACTAGTCCACAACGTGGATAGAGACTTAGATACCAAATATACCTAACGTCTCCAATAGTCAG